TTCTCTCTCATATATGATTCTTCTTTAAAACCATTTACACTTTGAGGAGTATAAGTGCAGCTTCGATAGGACAAGGTTTGAAGAGCTCTTACGTGGAAAGTCTTTTGCTCTCTCTTATTAAGTTTGAATCATCATTTATTTGATAAAGCTAAATTTAAGAATAGAATAAAGGGAAGTGCATGAATTCTTGGAAGAGAGATTTAAATAGTTAATTTGATACTAAAATCGATATTATTATTTTTTTCAAAATTTTAATTACGATTTCTTCAAATTTATATATTATTCAAAAACAAAAACATTATCAATTTTTCAAAACTATATAAAACTGTATTATATCAATAGACAAAGAATAAAAGGAAACAATAAAATTCAGATGTATCTCGTTGCATTTTGTAAGTACCCTTTATATATATATATATATATATATATATATATATATATACATATAAGTTGGGTTCACGTGAAACTAGACTATTTTCGTGAGACCCGTGATATCACTTTCTTAAAATTGAAACTTCACAGCAAAACAATATGAAGATAAAAAAAATCCAAACTTTTACAACAAAAACAATGTGAAGGTTACCTTCACAGTGTTTTGATGTGAAGTTTCAAGTGTAAAAAAATGGTCTCACGTGATCTCATGTCTCTCTCTCTCTGTGTATATATTTTCCACGGTTTTAACTCCAAACTGCAACATCCAACGGTGGTATTGGGCTTTTCTTTAGAGGACTCCACAAAATTTTACCATAAACATTCAAAACATGTCACAAAACAGAAAGAAAGAAAAAACCCATCCAAACTACTAGGGACGTTCCAATTTTTTTGGAGGCATTGTTACATCCAAAACTTTGGTTACATAGCATAAATGAGATAACAGAGAATATATGTTAAGAACAAAAATGGACTAAAACTAAAACGATTAACAATCTGAAACTAAACACCATTAATGAATTGAACCTAAAATCAAACGATTAATGGTTTGAATATAAATAATTTCGGCTATACTTTTACATGTCAATAAAAAGACCCTTAACACATGTAAATTTGGGCCCCAAAATATCGGTGGTCCTATTCAAAATCTCACATTTAACATGCCAAGGGACGGCCATGAAACTACATCAGTTTCAAAAACACCAGTAGGAACCAAAGGGTCATTGGTTCAACGATACCCAACCAGTAGAACCTAACATCGTAGAAGGTCAAAGGTTCAAACCTCACAGAAAGATTTAAGAGTATGTCTGAATATTTGTCGTCTATAAATATTTTAAACATCAAAAAACACCTTAGGTGATCACTTGCAGAAGTAATCTGATGCTGCAAGCAGAAACTTAGCAATATGCACACAACACAGGCCTAAAGATGGCTTATATCAAACCAAGTTGTTTTCACCATTATTAGGATCACATAATACATAACAACACAGAGAAAACTTAACATAAAAAAAACCGGCACAAAATTCACTCAACCATTATGCGGTTTCTAAACTAAAACACACTGAGATCGACCTACCTCTGTACAATTCTCTAGATTTCGACAAACAAGACGTACGTACCCTGTTTGACATATTGAGTTTGCTGCAAATGGGGTTTAATTTGAGTAAACGAAACTTGGAGGACTGTTTCTGGTTTTTGTAGATTCTCACTTGTACTTGCAGGAATATGTATTCTTTGAGATGGCATAAGAAGTATCGTTGTTTTTGCCATTTCACGCCTTCTGGAATGCACGGGATGAGGCTCCGTGTAGAAGCCGAATGAACCCCAAGAAACTGAGCTTCCCGTCTGCGTGTCTAATCCAATCCTGAAGAACTACATGAACTGGTATTGACGGGCTAAGTCCAAGTTCCTGCATTTGTTATAACAATGTATCTATGTTATATGCCATGTCTGAAAAACTAGCTGATAAACTAGTCATGTTTGGTAAGAACTAGCTGATAAACCATGTGAGCATGTAAAACGATCTATGGTTAGTTTATGGCTAACCAAACGGGCTTTTTTCAATAAGCTCAAAAAATAAACTAGCTTATGGTAAACATGGCCATAATCTTGAATATCCAAGGAAGATATATACTCAAAACTAGTTGACAAGCTAGCCGTTGGATGAAAAGCTGGTTGATGACTACTAAGATAGCTGATAAACTAGTTACGAGTGGTAAAAGAAACTAACCAATAAGTACATGATAATGTAAAATGACCTAAAAAGCCGGGTTTTGTTCATTTATGCAAAATAACAAGATAGCATAACTGGAAAAGAAGGTAAAAACAGCACCCAGAGCTTATTGAAACGCTACTAGAAGGTGCTTTTCGGAAAAAGCTAGCTTATGGCTTACCAAACGGGGTTTTTTCGATAAGCTCAAAAAATAAGCTAGCTTATGGTTGACAAACATGGCTTTAGCAGTAAGAGGGCATACCGAGGCAAGTTCTTCAATCATGATAGGTCGGTTTCCATCCTTCTCAAAGAGCTCATAGGCACGACGTGCAAGCTGCTCCCAGTTTTCCATTGCTTCTAGCTGATGAATGCTAATGGCTGCTGCTCCAAATTCCTCAAAATCAAATTTTTTATGTTGAAGAGAACTCACCTATAAAACAAAGAAAAAAATATTAATCCCGTTTAACTCTTCTTTTCCGAGCTTATTTTTCTTGACCAATAAGAGAGCATTTCGCCCGACAGTATCCAAGTTACCAGTAGAGCCCAACCTCTCAGGAGATCAAGGGTTCAAACCTCACCAAATGTGAGGAATGTGTGTGAGTGAGTATTTGCTGTATATAAATATTATATACTTAAAAAAAAGGGTGTGTGAGAAAATGACCATATGGACAAAATCTAGCACGCGTGAGTCCTTTATGGCATCAGTGCAATTCTTCATCAAGGCCTGCAGAAGGTAAATGGGTTTAGAACGACACCCGGAAAAACAAATTCTCACCGGACACAAAAACGATAAAAGGGGCGCACCGATTTGAAGTTCTGCATGGATATGAATCCGCTTTTGTTTGGACCGAGTGCCGCAAACTGGTCGCGAAGATAACCTAGCTCTGTAATTGATAAAGTCTTTGCAACAGCCTGCAGGGTAGCATAACAAGTTCGGTAATAAATCTACTAGCTCGATCAGGATCGCGTTTACTTCTAATTTGAAAATGGTACAGATTTTGTCACACTATGAAGCAGTTACTTGAAAGATCAATGTAGCATTCAAGATTATCTTCGGAACTCAAAGGATCAATGTCAACAATTTCGAAAGTTGAAGAAAATACTCCCTCCGTCCCAAAATAAATGTCCACGATGAAAAAGGCACACAATTTTTAGAAATGTGTAATTGTTACACTTTATAATTAACTAAATGGCAATTTTACCCTCAGGGAGTAAGAAGTTTCTCCATCTCATAATTAAGGGTGTAATTGGAAAGTAGGCACTTAATTCAAAAAGTGGACATTTACTTTGTAACAAACTAAAACATAAATGTGGACACTTATTTTCGGACTAAGGGAGTAATTCGTTTGACCATCAAGGTCAAAGTCGACATCATTTCTGTGTGGAGCGAAATACGAAAGTAAACGAAAGCCAGCATACCCCTAAAGCAGCTTTTCTTAGAGGAGATGAGCATATATATGCTTTTACGGTCTTGTAGATTATCATGTCCAAAGGTATTCTCACGTCGTGATAATTGGCCAGCCATGGATGACCTGATCAAGAAAGCACTTAAAATGTTAGTCTAACTTAGAATACGAATACATTACATCCTCCGTCACACGAAAATCCCAACATCCGTTGTGCAGGAAGTTATTATCTTCGTTACAAGTAAAATGATGATATTGATTTGGTTCTACAATATTCCTCTTACTAAGGGGTATTTCAGACATTTGACAAAGGGCAAATTGCATGAAAATGAAATGTATTTTGCTCTAATTCATACGTACTTCCAAAACCTTCATTTTGATACCTCAGATGTGATACCTCAAACATTTAAAACAAAGTACGTTACGTAAAATAGGAATTCAAATGTTGTAATTTTCATGCGACAGAGAAAGCATATGCCAGGGTGGAGAAGCTTACTGAGAGCTTGTGAAGCGGTAAGTCTCTTGCGGTAATCTTTGTTTAATAACCTCTTTACAAAGTCAACGGCATCAGATGACAAAGAAGGCCACGGGGCTTCATCGAAGTTCGGGTCAGCCTTGAGAACAGCCCGGAAGATTCCGGACTCCGTGCGCGCCCAGAAGGGTCGACTCCCACATAGAAGAATATATGCAATAACACCAATACTCCACATATCGGCTTCTGTCCCATATGATCTATGCAGAACTTCAGGAGCTACATAGTATGCACTTCCAACGATATCATTCAACCTCTCATCTGCACATATTTCACCACTAACCACTCGTTAGAGTCGGTAACCAAACAAGCCGAATATATCCCACCTGGAGGTGGGGTACCTCAAAGAGTAAAGCTACTGTTTCCGTGAAAAAAATGTGTGAAAGGCACAAATTGATCGAGTACAAGGCTTTGACCTGGCTTTACGTAGTCAGAGAGTCCAAAGTCAATGGCTTTGAGGAGTGAATGCTCGTCCTTAGACGTAAACAAAAAATTCTGAAGCCAAATAAAACAAGTATTAGCAAATACTTTTTGAATTCATAGGTCAATATTTCTTGTCGATGTTGTAGTTAAAACTTAAAAAAATACTCCATATATCACCGAAAAGATGAGACTTTTGACCTTAACAATATCTTGTACTAGTTTTTTGGAAATCGTGGGTATCCAGACCAGTTTGCATGCACCTTGACTAATCCAATAGGACCCTAAAGTTAACATCCCAACGGACCCTCCATGGCTCTGAGAGGGCTTGAACCAATGATCTCTGGGAGCAAATCCAAGGTCTTACCAGTTGTACCAATGACTAATGGGGAAACTGGTAAGTTTGGGTTGCAATCTACATTACAACCTAAAAATATAAAGTGTTGGAGATGGGGAAGTACCTTATTTGACTCTTAAAAGTCAAATACGGACTCTTTCTTGGACAGCGGTAGGAGCTAAAAGAGTTGAACGAATGACTAAAAGTTGAAACACACAAAAAAACTGTGAAAAACTTGGTTAGTTACCTCGGGCTTAAGATCACGGTGAACGACACCTTGAAGATGACAATAGGCCGTGACTCTCAAAATCTGGACCATGACAGCCTTAGCATCTTCTTCCGAGTATTTTCCACCCCTACAAAATGCAATTATGTATATAGCTTGAAAACTTGAAAAGGGTGACCATGGTGCATCAAAGGAAGTCTTCGAACATGTGACCTTAATTAAATAAAGGGTCAATGGCCAAATGCGAACCGGGTTACTGGTAGATCTCAACCTCCTTATAGGATAAGGTCAAGGGTTCAAGCCTAACCAAATGTGAGGACTGTGAGTTTTTGCGGTATATAGATGGTATATACATGACGAAGGAGTAACCTTACTAGTTTGACCGTAAATAAGATGAAATTATGAGTACCTGGCAAGTATCCGATCTAATAGTTCACCTCCTTTACATAACCTGCAAAAGTGGTAAAATGTAAGCATTACACCCTCGGAACATATATCATGTATGCATCTTTATGGTAATACAAGTGTTAACTATTGATCAAATGTCTAAATTACCCTCCAACAACGGTAAAATAGGGAAATCTTGGCATCAAGAATCCAGGCATTTTTTTCATGAGGCAAAGAGAGTGATGTAAAATTCCAACATACGTTTTTCTTTTGAGTCAATTGCCATTTGTCCAAATATGGTTCTTGGTCTAATGGTCGATCAAGTGGGACGTATGCAGACCTGTCCTCTACCCCCAACTTGCAAAAAGGTGTGCAAAAAAAGTGATTGAATAGGCGATGTGGGAGTTACACGTGTATGTATAGAAAATAATCTCTCTAATGTATCATACAAAAAGATATTTGTAACGTTCTTAATGCAATGAAACCTCCGTAAAGGATATGGGAGTTCACACTTACTCCATAACTATATAGACATTGTCTTCATCTTCATAAGCGTCGTAAAACTGAACTAGATTGTCATGACCCGTTAAAGCCCTTAATATTTTCACTTCTCTCCTTGCATCCTCAATGGCAATTACTGTAGTCATCTGCATAAACATCCACCGTTCTGTTAGAAGAAAACGTGGGATTGCTACAAATTCCGGCTTTCTTGGATCAATTTCATCTCTGATTACTACTAAATCTCAAAAACCAACGTGGATTTCCTTACGGATTTAGCATCAAGATTGTTATAGCAACTGTTATAAAGTTACATGTAGTTGTCAACAAAGAAGTATTATATCAACTATAAAGTAAAAATGCAATCACTTTGACCTTAAAAGTCAACCTACATCCAATGCTTTTTGAGGACTGAAGCCTTATGAATGTACTCTATTAGAAGTGTTCACTTCAATTTAGCAGTTCAACCAAATAGAAATGAAAGCAATAAGAACTGTAACGAATTAGCAGTCGTAAATGTTATACATAAACTAAACGAAATATGAGCGAAATCAAACCTTCGATTTGGGGATGACTTTAACAGCAACATCATGGCCCTTCATACTCCCTTTCTTGCCCTTGGCAGTACAAGTATACCCAAAATGTCCCCTACCCACTTCTTCTCCAAGCTCATAATGGCTTAATAACTGCTTAGAATACCCAAAATTCTTATCTAATCCAACCTCAAATTCATTTCCTTCAGGAATTGAGGCCTCATTAGGCTTAACAGACCCATGTCTCCTTGCAAGCAATGATCTAATATGCTTAGCAGGGGATGGTGGTGGGAAAGGCCTTTTAAATATGCGAAGAGGTGTCGAACCAACACTCGAATTCGCAGGTGAATTCTTGAAGGCAGTACTGTTGTGGAAAGGACTTGGGCTGTAATAAGGGAAGTTTGATGTTTTCCCAGATTGGGAATTCAGTGTGGGTTCAACTTCATTGGGGAAATTGGAGTTTTCGTGCTGGTTTTCACGGGTTTGATTCGGTTTTCCATGACAAAGTCCCATGGATTCACAAACCAATTGTGCAAGAAAGTACAACAAAAGAGATTAAAAGCCTATATGATTCAAGAAAACCAAGAACAAACCTAAATCATTGAAGAAAATGGAGAAATTTAATGAATTCAGGGAAGCTGTTGATCAAGAAAGTGACTTTAACACCACATCAACCCTCCAAATTCTTGAAACTTTACAAGAAAACCTAGAGAAAAATGCAATTGATTTCTAAGCACAACCCACAAATAACAAGACCACAAGCTCTTTAAAAACAACTATCTTCCCAAATAAAACCTGCAAAAAAGACAGAAGAAAAGCTCAAGACTTGAAAAGCAAATAAACTTTCTGATCAAAGAAACAATAATAATAATAATAATAATGTCAGAAAGACAAAAACATACCAAAAATCAGAAGTGATCTCAAGAGTTCCACCTGAAGATTATAAACAAATGGTTTGAGGTAGAGAAGCAACCAGCAACCAGGAGGGGGGGTTTTTACAAGAAGGTAAAGTATGTGTGTGTGTGTGTTTGAGAGATGAGAGACTAAGAAAAGAACCCAAAAAAGTGAAGGAAAGAAAAGATGCTTAGCAGAGAGAAACAAGAAAAAGAAAGGCAATGGAAACCAACCATTCTTTCTTTGCTTTCCGTTGCTTTTTCAAGGTTGGTTTTTTTTTTCCTTTTAAATTCCCAAAAAGAGCAAGAATTTGAACCTTGAATTCAACCTATTAAACTAAATCTCGAGAGGGTAAGATGTATACAGATTTTTTTATTTATTGGTAAAAAATATAATTACCAGTATCATCAGAAAAATACAGTATTTTTGATTGGTAATCAAGCATATGAGTTGATGATATGTGATTTTACCCTTTTCTTAAAGAAATACAGGGATAAAATGGTAAAAAAAAAGATGAGAAATGGGTGTACTGTTGGGAGATGATTAGAGGACCCTATTATTTATGGGGTGTATTTATTTTATGAGTGTAATGGTGGTGAGTGGGGTTGGTTCTTTGGATGCTTCCAGCCTGTCTTTATTAGAGGGAGGGACTAAACATTTGCTAACCAACAGTTTTAGACTTTGAGCTTTGACCATGTTTCTTGCTTTTCCCAATTTTAAATCCACTTTTTAACCATTTTTTATAGCTTAATTTGTACCAATCCTGTTTTTGTTTCACATAAATCAATGTCTACCCTTAATATTACAATCAAACTTATATACCTATATCTATATATGTAAAAAAAACTTATATTAATTTTTTATTATCAGTATATAATAAACTTTATATATTTTTATATCATATATATATATATATATAGGGTTGGGTTCACGTGAAACCAAGCTGTTTTCGTGAGACCCGTGAGACCATATTTTTACATTTAAAACTTCACAGCAAAAACACTATGAAGGTTTAAAAAAGTCGAACCTTCACAGCAAAAACACTATGAAAGTTACCTTCACAATGTTTTTGCTGTGAAGTTTCAAGTATAAAAAGCTGGTCTCACGGGTCTCACGAAAATAGGCTGGTCTCACGTGATTCCAAGTCGAGAGAGACTTGGGATCATGTGAGGCCAGCCTGTTTTCGTGAAACCCGTGAGACCAGTTTTTTACACTTGAAACTTCACAGCAAAAACATTGTGAAGGTACCAGTTTTTTACACTTGAAACTTCATAGCAAAATGTTGTGAAGGTAACCTTCACAGTGTTTTTGTTGTGAAGGTTCGACTTTTTTAAACCTTCACAGTGGTTTTAGGGAAAGAGTATTATACAAGATACTTATATGAAATATTGTACTGTTATTTGAAATATAGTATAGAAATATTTCTATCGTATTTCTTATATTGATCGTAGTGAAATCTTGCATAAGATGATAGCAAGTTATAAATTATAGTTTGTTTTTCCTTCCTTTCTTAGTTTCGGATTGAAAGAGGAAGAGTTGGTAAATAAATAAAAAATCCAAAGGAGGTTCATGGCCAAGGGTAAAGATGTGCAAATACCAGTTATTTTGGAATGTACAGTTTGTGTTCGAAACACCTATATATATATATAGGGGGTGTTTGAGATTGTTTATTTGAAACAAATTATGTTTTTCTATAAAAGCATTTATCAACTTATTATAAGTCAGAGGGGTTTAACTTCTTCAAAAACTCTTTATTACCGGTTTGGCACCGGTATAAGTTGTTTATCCAAATACTCAAAAGTGTTTATTATCAGTGTCATACCGGAATAAGTCAATAAATTGTTTTTATAAGCAATCCCAAAGATCCCATAATTTGACATATTTTTTAAGACATACTATAAAAATGAGATTTACGATACGTCTTTAAGATAGAAATTTTTTAAATTGCAGACTTTTAAATATACATTCTTAGACTATAAAATCTTCAATATCTTTTTGAAAATATCTTTTTAAAAAAAATAAAAATCTAATCTTTTTTTTATTAACCTGAATATACAACCCGCTATACGAGCCGATTAATCCCAAAACGACCACCCGCTTTGTGGATAGCACGGAGTCACTGCATTCGAACCTCCATAGTCGTAAGAGGATTTTTATTTTTTTCAAAATTTGAACATAGAACTTCCGGACACTTTTAATCTTTGGAGTTTAAGTTCAAACCAATCGAATTGTATGATTTGTTTTTGATTAACCTGAATATCTAATTCGCTATGTGAGCCGACTAATCCAAAGACGACCACTTGCTTTGCAGATAGCCTGGAGTCACCGCATTTGAACCTCCGTAACCACAAGAAAATATTTATTCCTTCTTAGTTTGTATGGTTTTTACCACCGAAGTAAATTGCATGAAAGGGTGCATTCCTGGGTGATAATTGATGGTAGCATTAAATATATGGTTGTAGTCAAATTTGGAAGTAATTATTTTAGTTAGACATTCGTTCAACTACAAGTAACACTTTCAATACAACCTATTTATTACCATCCTAATTTTAATTTATTTTTCTTTTTCATTTATTTTTTTCAAAACCAAAAAAAACCCGATACCAGTTTTCCTGATTTGAAGCAGATAAGACTCATTAAAACCACGTTTCGTAATACAAATTCGGGTTCTTTTTAATTTTAAAGAAATAATTGATTCGATTTAATCCTTTTGTTTTTAGGTCGGAGACTGTTTTTACCGACCTTTACAGAATACCAGACTATTAATATGTAGTTCTTGATCATGTTGATAATATTATATAAATAATTTAATTATATAATCATAAAATAATTAAGAACCTTAATTGAAGTATACTTTTCAAAACCTAGTAGTATGATCATTCCTTCGACTCAAAACTATTGAAATCTACTTTAAAGTATAAGTTAAGTAAATATGTTTATTATCATTAATTATTACTAGAAAAGTACTCGTACAATGCAGCGAGATACATCTTGATTTTAATGTTTCGTTTTTTTTTTGTCTTAGTCGATGTTATAATACGGTTTTATGTGGTTTTGAGAAAGAGATAATGTTTTTATTTTTGAATAAAATATAAATATGAAGATATCATAAAAAAATATATTGATATTAGTATCAAACTAACTATTTAATTTTTTTTTTGTATTTCTTTAATTCATTTTTTTTATTTTTGGTTTAATAATATAATTTTTTATAAAAAATAATAATTAAGTATTTTGTTAGAACTCAATGATTATTCTAATTATATTTAGTTTTTTTATATTAAAAATGAAATGTTTATTCTCTATTTGGTTATGTTTATCTGAAGTTAGTTACACAAATTCAAACATGAATCTTTAATAAGTTGCACTTACGCACAATTTACTTGTAATCTTCAATTTTAAGTAATATACATCAATAAACAGTACTTCATAAATGGTTTTTAAGAGTTTTTGTCAAATGATTTATAATATAGTATAGATAATGTTTTTAATTTGGTTTTAAATATGATATTTAATTAAATAAACATAAAAAGATTAAATTCTTATGCATGATAAAAGAAGAAAAATAAAATGGATAAAGTAAGAGTTACGAGTATTTTATATCAGAGGTAAACAGATCATTTGGATTGAAATGGATGACGAAACAATTATACAGTATTGGATCAAACACGGATTTTTAAAAAAGATCATGGACTAAACCTTTATTCAGACTGATCGGTTCATCAGATATTAGATAATGATGACCATTTCCGTACTTTCTTTGATCTATATTTTTGTATATTGTGAAAGGTTTTTTTATACACGGTTTTAAAGCAACGTCTTCATTTCAACAAAGGTTGGCGTGGAGCGTTCGTAGGGGTATTGAATGTCAATGACGAGGGTGGCGGGAATTAGTTGTGGAATGATGTGATGATCATAGGTTGCAATTATTACGACAGACATTGAAGAATTAGTTACGTTTTATATGAATAACTTCAATTAATTTTTATCGTATAACTAAAATAGCGATTTTTTTTCCATTAAGAGGTTTTAAATACTAAATTCGAAAATAATCGTATTTGATTGATTGTTTTCAATTTCAGCCGTTTCCTTTTATTATTTTAAATTTGATTAAGTTATTGACTTTAAGTCGATCATAATTTGTGCATGCATCGCATTTCATTTTTTTTAATGATACATAAACAAAATACTTTTAAATTTTTATAATTATAAATAAAATTAGTTTTATGAAATTTTGACTAACTTTTATATATATACACACACATAGAGGCACGTTCAAATGAAAACCGTGCATTTCTTAGAAACCGTGTAAACTAATTTCAACCAATAGGAAAATTCTATTTTTTTCTAATTAAATTTAATTATGAAGGGTATTTTGGTCATTTGCATTATTTTATATTAAATATGGAAGTTATTAATAAATCTTAATTAAGGAAATGTAATAAAGAAAATTTTATAAATGATAACATTTAAATATTTAATTATATTATAATATTAAAAATTTGAACTTGTAATATTGTTTGGCGATTGAATCTTTTCTAGAATCATGAAGATTGTAAGGTATTGGAGCAATGAATTCATCAAATCAGTATTAAAATAAAAAATTAATGTTCATGAAACAGGTTTCATAATGGTAAAAATGGTGAATGGCGTAATTGAACAATGAGTAATGAACTGGTTTCATGGTAAAACTCGTTTCATAAATGTTGAAGTTGATGCTTAGAGTAAGTGAAACGGACTATAAAACGGGTGCATCATGTAAGCGGTGCATCATGAAACTATTGCATGATGAAATCGATGCGTCATGAAATAATTGCATGATGAATAGGGTGCATAATTTTTGTGGGTGTTTGAAGAAAGTGAATTTGTTTCATTAATAATATGATATACAGGATATGGTTGCCTTGATTAAAAAATACTATAAATTCATTGTATTTAAATGCTTACCATTTTGCCCTTATTGTTGTTATAAAAATAAATTTTTAATATATATATATATATATATATATTTAATTTCTTAAAATAAACTAAATTAATCTAGACCATTGATCAAGAAAATGGATGGATGAGATTGGTTTACATGGTTTATACAAATATTTCATTTGATCGCTCATCTATACGC